GGTAGAGATCTTTGTTTCATACCTCCTCCTCCTCCTCCTCCTCCTCCTCTTCATCATCATCATCATCATTGTTGTTGTGGTGGTGAGAAACCCTAGCTAGTACAAGCATATCTTTTTAAGAAGACCCTTTCTCCAAATGGTAATAAAAGACATTTGTTCCATCCTGGGCATGCAAGAGATTCTTCATTTAGATCTCTCACCATGGTCATGGTGAAGAAGAACATAAGATCAGGAGTATCGGTGGTCGACATAAATCGACAATCATAATGACTAGAATTTACCTTAACTATGTCTTATGCGAGATCCATGCTATATATCCACATATGCTGAGGCTATTAATTATCTGATCGATGCAGCATTTTCACAACCACTGTCACAGTTGATCATCTTTTGGGTAACATATATGATTGATAAACACTACTAACTAATAGCCTAAGTGATATTAAGATATCTGTACACTAGCAAAGTGATGGAGATGGATGCACGGAAAAAGGAATACACACTTTCAGAGTTGCACCCTCTCCAGCCAGCAAACCGAGGAGTAGTGGTGAGAGGAGTAAAATAGTAGCCAGACCAGAGAGTACTTTTGACTAGAGATACGGCCAAAACATGAGAAACCCTCCCTGTCTGCAACGTAACAAGAGAAGGCAAACCCTATAGACGCAGCGAGTGATAAATATCAAGAGGGGAAGAAAAGGATCGGAAGCTCCTCTCTTTTTCTCCCGATACAGGTCTGTCTGTGGACGACGTACGTTTAGCTGAGCCCTGACGATCGATGATGATGAAGGGTAGCAGAAGGTAGATAGATGGATAGATTTATACATCCAGCAGCTGCTGCTACTGCTGCTATAAAATCAGACAAAGGCTGACTGCCAAAAACATGCAAAAAGAAAACAGATGCGCGTCTCCTTCTTTAATGTTTGTTGTGCAGGCTTTACCAGCACTCCAGCAGCTGTTTGCTTTTTACTGGTAATTTATTGGGGTGAGTAAGACTTGACTCTAGTAGGACTGTCACCCTTTGCACTGGATCCAATAACACCAAGTCTAGCTGCAGGCTGCCTCTCTCTCTCTCTCTCTCTCTCTCTCTCTCTCTCTCTCTCTCTCTCTCTCTCTCTCTCTCTCTCTCTCTCTCTCTCTCTCTCTCTCTCTCTCTCTCTCTCTCTCTCTCTCTCTCTCTCTCTCTCCTCTGCTGAAAAAGTAGGAAGAGCATAGAATGGGGGCAAAGATGGTGGTAAGTCCTCATCAGCTGAGATAATGTTAAAGACAGATGGTAGAAGGAAGTGCATAAATGATTGTATTTGTATTTCATTAACATCAAGGCAATGCTTCTAATCAAGGGGCTAGTGATGTGATTAACAAAAATGAGTATATGTTACCATACAGATTGGTACAAAGTATGTTTTGCCAAATGTCTATTCAGTGATTCATGAATATTCGCTTATTGAACCAATATAGAACCATTTATAGTACAATAATATATTAATTCTAATATATTCAAATCAAATAACTATAAAACTTTGTATGACAAATAGCCACCTATCATTTTACAAAAATAAAAATTATCCGATGGTAATACAAGTGACATTTCAGAAATAAAAACCATTAATTTACCAAATTTAAAGCGGCGGGTTTTTTTAAAAAACTTTTTAGAACCTAATATATGGCGTATAAATAACATGTTAAGTTATATTTTGTTGCATAGATCAAGAGTAGAATTGTTGTTAAACAGTTAATCTGGTGTTCAAGAGGTGTTGGGTTCAAAACCGATCATTACCATATTCTTTATTCTAACGTGAGCTTTTCAATTTGGTTTGTTTTGTGTTGTGGTATGACTGCTTGGTTTGCCCGGTTCATCACTTAGTGTTTTGATCTACTACTTGTTAGTCGACTTTTGGTAGGTGACTAGAAGCTCCACTCGAACTGAACTATAGAATAATTAACAGTTTTACGGATCATACAGAATAGAACGATCCGATTTGATTTTAATATAACTGATTTTTCACAAAAGGTACGTAGGGTTATAGAGAAAAGTAGAAAAAATATAGAAGATAAACAATTATGTATCCCTACTTGTATCAAATCACACAATTGTGCGGGCAATTAAAAATTGTCCTAAGATTGTGTTTGATATTCTACTAATTCAAATTTGCCAAAGTAATTGGATTGATTGCATGTGATGTTTATTCTGAAGGCTTAACACATGTTGCATGATTTGGAAGGAGTAGTATTATCCTAGGTCTTTGGTGAGTCGAATCAATTTGTTCCTGAACGAACAAGGGATTGGTCTAATAGTAAGACCACTAGCTTTGATCCTAAAAGTTTTAGGTTTAAATCTCTTAAATGGTACCTAAGACAAAAATTGAACTTATATCACCCTTATAAAAAAAATCGATTTGTTCTTGATTTTTATCGTATTCTATCTTATACGAACAATCTTGCTTTGCTCTGGGCAAGCCATCACTTCCGTGATTCCTTCTCATTTATGTTACCTTGCTTTTATAGTCTTTTACTCTTTGAGTCAGATGGATGGAGTTCTTCTAATGAGATATTTGGTCAAATCTATCATTTTAGAAAATAATGCATTTCATCATTAGACATTTACCAAATTGTCTTGTTTGTATGAGATTTTTAATGAGATATATGTTTACTTTATTTTATTTTTAGTATTAGAGATTCTATTGTTCCGATTTGAAACAAATTATATGTAGTTGTTTGAAAGCACGAAACTCAATTCTTAATCTCGTTGGCGTTTTCTCTTTATAGGTATGATTTATGAGATTTCCGATATATTTTAGGAAACTTGTGGTATGCTTTGAAGTTTCTGGTATCTTTTATGAATATAATGGTGCGGTAAGGTTCTGGTATATGGTTTGTAAGTTTTTTTGGTATCCTTTATGATATTTTTAGTGAGGTTTGTTGTGTTTTCTAATATATATTTTGTGGTATGTTTTGTGATACCTTTGATGAGGTGTAATGATGTGTTATACTTCACCCGTGTGCTCTTCTTAATTTTTAATAATGACAAGCATAACTCTCATTTTATAAATACATATTAATTATGATCAACATTGAAATTAGGGTAAATACAATTTAATATCCAAACCTTTCATTTTAAACAATATAATAGCCAAACCTTTTCGAAAACAATCTAATATCCAAATCGTCAACTTTCCGTTCGTTTGACCGTTAGTTAACACTTCAAAAAAGTTCGAAGTACGACGCTTCATCAATATTCATCGATATCTTCTCTGAAAAACCACCAACATATCGTGGTTCCAAACCCGAGAAGTCCATGACTCCACCATGATGATATAGAATATCTAAATATTCAGTCATCTGCAATGCCAAAACAAGAAAATAAAGTTGTATTGTGACAATTTTCCCTAAACAAAGCTTTTTTGAAGTGTCAACCAACGGTCAAACGGACGGAAAGTTGACGATTTGGATATTAGATTATTTTCGAAAAGGTTTGGCTATTATATTGTTTAAAATGAAAGATTTGGATATTAAATTGTATTTACCCTTGAAATTAAATAGACATAAAACAAAATATTCGTATTTACGAAAATTAGAATTAGCACTGTTAATATTGAGCATTCACAAATAAATTAATAATAGAAACCAATAACAATAAAAAGATTAGGCAAAATACACTTGTATAGCCATAACTTTCACGTTTGTGACAAATATAGCCATAACTATCCGAAAACACAAAATAGCCTAAAAATTGGATGGTCATGTGACAAATCTAGCTATTTCCGTTAGAAACTTTAACGATGTTAGAAACTCCGTCAGTTAGGTTAACGTGAGGCTGACTAGGATGCCAAATCATCCCACACGTCAGCAACCAGTCAGCATATTATTGCCACGTCATTTTGAATTATTAAAATAATTAATTTTAAAAATAAAAAACAATTTTTTTCACTAGGTAAAAAAATTAATTAAAAAATAAAAAAATTGAGCTTCTTCCTTACCCACAACCCGTCGTCCATACCTCCCCAACCTCCCCTCTATCTGTTCGCCACCCAAATTCCAAATCCCATTCCCATCTTCCTTCCCAAATTCCAAATCCCACTCATCTTCTCCCCTGTTACAAAATCATCGCATCTCTTCCAAATTTCTAGATCGCAAATCCCACCGCTTCAATATCTTCATCTTCCTTTTCCATCTCACGACTAGAGGAGCAGGAGCCGACAGATCTGGATCGACGTTGTTATTTTTAGATCCTCCGCCGCCATCACCTCGACGACCAGCAGCCCGTCGCCTCGGTTCTGCGTCGCGCCCAGTCTTCAACAGTCGTCGCGTCTACTCAACCCGCCTTCTGTTTTTGCAATGAACAGAGTCTATGTGAGCTTCGAGGGACCAAATCAGAGAATTGGGGGTAGGGTTGGTCGAAGCCGTTTTACATTTTCTACTTTCTGAAACCGTGTTACATGTATCGTCATCGTGAATGAAAATGGGGGAAAGACAGGCTCAAGTTAATTCAATGAAATTCCGGTCAAGAAAAGTAAACGAAAATGTTACCTACCAAGTTGATCCGCCGGCGAGTCTCAGGGACGGCGAAATAGAGTCTGGAGAGGTAGAGGAGACGGAGAGAGTCAGTAAGGCCGGCGTTTAATAAGTCTCGGCTAGAGGGGAAGAGATTGGGAGGAGGATTAATTTTCGTTTTTTTTCTTTTCTTCTTCTGGTTTTGTGATTTTTTTTAATTCCACGTAGGTTGGTGGGGTAACTCAATCGCCAACTCAGCATCTTCTGTTAGTCTAGTCATAACGTCAGCTTACACCGTTAACAAAATGGATGGAATTGGCTAGTTTGTGTTTTCGGATAGTTATGGCTATATTTGTCAAAAACGTGAAAGTTATGGCTATACAAGTGTATTTTGCCAAAAGATTAATACAATTTAATTTGTCAATATATAAAGTTATTTCCCGCCCTAACGGGCCGGGCCTTTCGGCAGTAAGAGACAAAGAAGACTAAAATTAAGACATCGACTACCTAACCAACATTTCTCCACAGCGTCTCTTCCCTTCTTTATCGAGAAACCGCCGAGGAAGTAGTGGAGAAGTACCGACTCTGCCATTTTTGTCTTCTACGGGAACGACGCGCCATTCAAGCTTTCAACGAAGGCCTCGTCGGTGGGTTTAGTGTGTGATCATCGTAGACCAACGTTGATTGTTTGCCGCCCGGTTCTCCGCTTGGTATTTGGCGCTGGGGTTTCTCGAATTAGGGATTTTTCTTTTTAGGGTTCTTGGGTAGCCAAACGGGGAGAACAAAGCGACCATATGCAACAAAAGATGCAGCAGCCACAACAGATGATGCCCATGATGCCCTCGTTTCCGCCTTCCAACATCACTACTGAGCAGATCCAGAAGGTATATTTTTGTAGTATGGTGTTCATTTATGTGTTCTGTTCTTGGGTGTAGTTGCGATTGAGTTATCTTTTTGAAGCTGAAAGTTTAGAGCTTTACGGTTTTCGTTTGAGAAGAAATGATTGGGTCTAAGTATTGGATATGTGGCTTGTAGATGCTAGTAGTTGTAGTAATCATTAGCTCGTAATCAGGAAGCAACTGGCTCGTTCCTTGAAAAGTTGATGTCTTCTGCTCTTAGTTCTGTGCGCATTCCAGATTATCGACTTTTATCTACTTGATTGCTCAGTGATGTCTGAGGGTATGGGATTGCACTGCCATGGCACTTACCAATGTCAAGTATTGCTAGTGGAATTAACTGAGATGGTGATGTAGCTCACTTCATGATGTGTATGTAGGAAATTTCTGAGGATTAAGAGTGCCATTGTAGGTATTTTTCTTACGGCTTTTATTTTTTACCTTTTTTGTTGGGTCAGCGATGTTGGCTTTTGCGTGTCTGTTTCTGTGACCATGAAACCGAGACAACATACAAGCTTGCCTTCTTAGAATGTATTCTTCTGAAGTTATATGGCAAGTACTTATTAGCGTATTAGTGTTTGGGCCATCTTATGCGCACATCGCATTAAGTTAGAGTTGACATGGTATGGGAAAGTTAAGCTGTATTCTATCTTTATTGATGTGTTAATGTTAGGAAATGGTATTTGTACATGAGGCGATGGCACCGTGTTATCTTGTCTTGGTGGATCTTTTGAAATGTTTGTTGCCATGGAATTTTTGTCGGGTTGATGCTCTAAAGATTTTAAGTAGGGTAAGTTGTTAATTTCATCTATTTATGATATTTCAATTGATCGCAGACTCCACGTGTTACCAGTCGTTTTCTTTTGTTTGCCCTGTGTTTGACAATCTACGGCTTGTGCTATAAATATAATCTTATGCATGCATGATTTTCTAACGCTCGATTCTGTATTTAATGCTTGATGCAGTTTCTTGATGAGAACAAAAAGTTGATCTTAGCCATATTGGACAATCAAAACCTCGGCAAGCTGACTGAATGTGCCCAGTAAGAAGTCATTTGCTAATGCATCTGACATATGTGTGCTTGACTTTTTTACTCTTCTTGTGTACTGTCTGTAACTGAGATAACCACTAATATTGCAATTGAATTCCAAGAAACCTGGAACATAGAAATGCCATTGAGTTCCATCTCAAACTCCAAAATAGAGCAATTGACTCATAATCTGCAGCGGCATACATCTTCATAATTGTTCTGACCACAACTGCTTCCTGCCACCATGACATTCCTGCCATCTCCTCATCCAATGTGATTGCCCTGTTCATTCTTGATTGTTTGTTGGTAATTTTGTTCCTTTGGCTTTCTAATTTTGTGAAATCTATACCTATCTTGACATATTTTGAAACAAGCTTGGAGATTAAGACATATGTAGGACGTTGTTACATACACTAGGGTCATGGTACACTTCCTCTTTTGCTTCTTAAGCCTTAGCTCTGTCAGAACAAGCCAGTGCTGTGTTAAGCAAGCATAAGCTTAGGGTGAGATAAGATTTCAGAAGTATTAGTTTGTCTGCGAGTCATGTAGCCTTGCTTGTGGTTTCTTTGTTTGTTTTTAGTATGGATAGTTTTACTTACATTTTGGGCCTCCCACGGATGCTAGTACTTTACTGTTGCTGTTTGTTCTGACAATTTACAGGATAGGTCACAGTTTTGTGCATCATATGATAGGGTGATTGGCCATTAGAACTCTGGATTTTCATGAATCTGAAGTTTCATATATTGTTAAGATATTGGTTTTGTATGTTCAAGTGGAATTTGGTGCTCCCTATTTACTTGGTTTCTTACTTGTCCTGATTTTAACTATGTAGATACCAAGCACAACTGCAGAAGAATCTAATGTATCTAGCGGCTATTGCTGATGCCCAGCCACAGGGACCTGCTATGCCCCCTCAGGTTGGTATATTGAACACACCGGTCATCTACATATCTATTTTTCCCATTGGCACGTCTTTAACACAAACTTTTTCCCACCTGGGTCAGATGTCTCCACATCCAGCAATGCAACAAGGAGGATTTTACATGCAGCAGCATCCTCAAGCTCAAGCTCAGGCTCAGGCTCAGGCTCAAGCTCAAGCTCAAGCTCAGGCACAAGCACAAGCACAAGCTCAAGCAGCAGCGGCAATGGCTCAGCAGTCGCCAGGGGGTTTCCCCCCAAGGAATATGCCATTACAGTATAACAACCCCCCACATCAAATGCAGGATCATCCACAACAATTACACCAACAAGCGATTCATGCACAACAGATGGGAATAAGGCCACCCTTGGGAAACAATAATAGCATGCATCATACCATGCAAGCTGCTGATCCAAATCTAGGAAGCAGTGGGCCCTCCCCAGCAGCAGCAGGATCGAATAAACAAGATGCACCACCTGAAGCTGGATCAACCGGTGGTGATCGCCAGTGTAGCCCGGCTGCTGGTGAAGGTGGTGAGCAGGCGAAATGACCAAACTGGGTTTTGAATAAAACATGAGTATGCCTTCTGCTGTTTGATTAGTTGGCATATTCACAGAGTGAGCCGGATCTGTTTCTTGTGGTTCCCTTTTTGATGTTGTGAACCCAGAACTGAAAGTGGTCCTCTTGGTTTTCGTGTTAGTGTTTGACAGAGTAGTCCTCTAGCGCAAGTTGTTTGGTGTCTGGTCTGGCTACTTTGAAGTAATCTAAACCAGAGCTGTAGTTTCCTTTTCTTTCTGTTTCTTATCTATAGGGTTAGTTTTGGGATGAGTGATTTCTTGTTGTAATCTGTGTGGTAGTGTTGTACTGACTGATGAAACTCTCGATTTCGTCGGGAAGTTTTCAATAACTTGAGTTGGTAACGGAAATCATGTTAGATCAGGTCGAGAAAAGTAACCATAACAAAGAAATTTCTTAGATAAAAGATACAATATACCATTTTAATTAGTTATTTGAATCTCGTCACCTTTCATACATAGGCTGAAAAAGAATACCATTAACTTGGAACAAAATATTCAGGCAAGTAAAATAACCGAGTTGGAAGAAACAAAATCTAAGAGGTGCGTAGCACCCAATGCTGGCCATCGATCTGAACCGTATGCCCATACATCTGGGCAAACAAATGAACCGCCCGTCTGACCGACCGCCTATCCCCCACGAGAAAATAGTCATGCCCAAACATGACCCCACCCGGTCGCAACAACCGGTACGCCCGGTTCAAATCGGACCAAATCGAGGTAAACTCATGACCCGCGTCGATCTCGATCAGATCCGCGGTCACACCCCACTCGCACAACACCGACAGGGTCGAACCGGCGGAGAACGGGAGCGGAAGGACCGAGTCGGTCACGTTGGTATAAACCGCGTTCTGCATGAACTGATACAACAGCGTCACGGCGCCGTTGACTTGCTTAATAAAGGGGAACTCCTCCCTGAACCCGGCCCAACCCCGGAAGTCGTCGATGCACAAAATGACCGTGTCGTCGAGGCCGAGCTCACGCGCCAGCTTGGCCATGTGGACGGTCGACGCGCCGAGAAATGTCCCGACTTCGATGATGACCTCGGGGCGGACCTCCTCGAGGAGGTGGCGGAACACGGGCGTGGTGGAGCCCCAGCCTTTGAGGCACTTGTGGCGGAGGGACCCGGCCACGTGCGGCGGCGGGAAGTCGGAGAAAGGGGAGGTGCCGCCGTAGACGCGGTCGATGAGGGTTTGTCGGATCTGGCGGGTGGGTAAGGGGTTGGCGGCGCAGTTGGGGGAGGCTCGGAAGTTGTCGAGCTCGGCTGGGAGAGTCATGGCGGCGGTGGTGGCAGTTGTTGTTGGTAGTTGGGAGTTGGGGAGGTTGTTGTTGTTGTCGTTGGCGGTGGAGGTGGAGGAGGCGGCGTAGAAGTAGCCGATGTAGAAGGAGAGGAGGATGAGGAGTGTGTAGATTGCTGTGGAGTTGGCGGGCTGTTTGTTGCCGGCGGGGAGGCTCTTCCCGTCTTTCATCTTAATTTCTTTCTCTATATTATGGATGAAACTCCGGCGTTGAGGCTAGGAGAAGTGGAATGAGGAAATGTGGCATGGATTTGCGTATCTGTTATAGGTAAATGGAGTACGGCAGCGACAATGGAATTAGGAAGAATGGAAAAGAAAGGACGTATAGGCATGCATGTCCATTTTGAAATTGCAATCCAAAAGTTGATAGGAGGAAGAAATAAGAAAAACGAGTTATGGGGATGTCCATGTTGAGTATGTGACGCATATTTGTACAGAGAAAAAGATTGATTTCCAGCAATTTCGTATCACAAGTCATTTGGTTGGGTTGAAAGCAATTGAGAGGGTAAAATTTGTACTTGTTTAAAAGTATAAGTTATCTTTAAATCTATTAAAGCGCTTTAAGATTAGCGCCTATGCCACGTAAGCTTTGGAGACCAACCCATCATTTTCGGGATTTCTATTTTTTTGAATTTTTAATGGGTTGTAACCGTGTTTTTTTTAAATGGAGCTCTGTGGTGGTCGGTTTTTCCGCCAATATAATCCTCCACCCTATTTTTTAATGCGCTTTTTATTAATTATGAATGTGTTTCTTACTTTTTTATTTATAAGTTGGATGTAGTTTCTTTCTCCAAAGTTTTTCCCCAAGGACATTCAATTCAGCCAAATCCATTTCCTTAGATTAGGGTCTATTAATAGAAAAGTATTAGACTATACATAATCTAATCCATTTAAATTAAACTTCTTCATACTCATTATTCTTAATAATATAATGTGTATATGCACCCGAAACTCACAATTCTTATGGTATACGATAATAAATCTATACATTTTTATTAGTATTAATCCAAAGAAAGAGTTGTTGTTTATTATACATTGTCTATTGTCTATGTTCGGGCTGAATTTGGAAATGCTTTTATCATTCACAAAATTATGTCATATCAAACACTTCTATAAGAACAACATTTTATAAAAAAAATTATAATTATTTTTTATAACATAAAGCAAGAGCTCTGGTTTGGAGTTTCTTTCATCTACATTATTTTAAAAGTAAAATAAATTATAAAAACCATAATTTGATATAAAAATGATTCATTTTACTTTATTCAATTATAGTTTGATTTATACTTTGTAATCGAAATTCACATTTCGTCTAATATTGTGAATTTCGTCTAATATTAAATAGCACTTCTAATAGTTTATAATTAACAAAATTCAATTGTTTTTGAAAATAAAATTCTAAAAGTTTATGTTAGAAGCCGCTTTTACAAAAACTACAATAGGGTCAAACTGTCACATTGTGTATGTTTATGACCAAATTAATCAATATCTAATATGCATCGATCATGAGTTGAGTATTTTGATTAGTTAAAATTTACCGATTATGTTCAACGCAAAAAGTTATAGATTAAGTATTGATTAATCCAAAAGATTAAACTTGTATGAACTTGCATTTAAGCATAGAAATCAATAATTAATTGATATAATAACCAAATGAAACACACCCCGGCCATGGGGCCGGGCACAAATCTAGTATAATATGAAGTCTTTAACGATAACTTGAGTGATTCGAGACTCGAGTTAACAAGTTAGTTAGGACGGATCATGCATCATGTTCAAGTTGGTAATTATAAATTTGAGTAGTTGATAGGCTAATTAATTTGTGTGTTTAAGAGTGGATCTTGTATTGTTTTCTATATACCTTACCTTCCTCAAATGGTCGTCAATTATTTGTGGGTTTAGGATTTGTACAAATATGTTATATTATATGCTTAACTCAATAGTTGTTATTTGAAGTCGGAATTCAAATTATTAAAAGTCAAAGAATAAATCTTATAACATTCTTTTATAAGTTGGTAAACAAATTTCAGATAGAAAAAGTGTACCAAATGGAATCTAACTAACTTAGGACGAGGCATGAGTAAATGCATGCCTCTAAGTTTGAATCATTGAGATTATTGATGTTAGCCATGAATTTGAAATATGGATGATAATTAGCTACTATGGTTTTCAGGAGCCAGCTACAACTTGGATAGTAGTTAATTATCATTCTTGAAATATTGTACACTAGAGGAGTATTTTCTTTTATTTCAGGTGTTTTTTCATGCAGGGTTTAGTGTGAGGGATGTGATTTCTTGTTGTTATATGTGTGTTATTGTTTTTTTTTTTTTGTTAATGATGGGGAATTATTATAACCTTCGATCTTCATCAATTTGGTGATGTCGTTGCTGAAATAAATTTGTGATTTAGTTGGTTCAGATGAAATCCTACTAGAGAAAATATTTTATTTTGGTAGTGTAACCATATGAAAATTCGAACTTAGTGTTTTTAGGTTAAAAATTAGTGTTATCTACAACATCATTTTACTTGTACGTTAGTGTCACCTAGGGATGTCAATCCAACCCGTAACCATGGGTACCCTATCCGACCGTAACCGGTCAACGAGGGTAATTACCCGCTTTGACGGGTTAAGGGGAGGGTACCGGTAATACCCGGTTTCAAAATAAAGGGTAAGGTATGGGTATGGTAATCGATAGTACCCGCCCAGCTATACCCGCCCCGCTAATCAAAGGGTCAATTTCCCTTGAGAAATTTAGTGTAGCTTGAGAAATTGAGTTTAGCTACCATTATTGATGATGAAGATGTAGACGATTATTATTTTTGTGTGAATTGTAGAAGCAAGAACAATTATTATGTGTTTGTTGTTTTTATTTGTGTGGATTGTTGAAGCTAGAACAGTTACAAGTATTGAGAATTTTTAATGGACAACCGTATGTATGTATGTGTATAAATTCATAATTTAGGATTCATACCCATAGTTACCTGAATACCCGTGGTTACCCGGTGGGTAGGGTATGATTATATAATTTTCATACCCGGTTGTTATTTGATCGGGTATTTTAGAAGGCTCTACCCGGCGGATTAGGAGTTGGTATAGGGTAAACCCGCACCCTACCCTACCTATTGCCATCCCTAGTGTCACTCTGACCATGAACATGATTTTTATTGGAATGTTTATGAAACTCAAACCCATAATCAATTTCACTTATCCCCATCCTAATTTGTCCATGAAATTGTTTTGGTCAATAATCTGATTTGAACATAACAGAAGAGTTCAATTTCTTTGTTCAAGTAAAAATGAAAAATGTAATTGAATTTTTTCTATTATTTGAATCTCATCAGGTACACACAGTAACTTGGACAAATGAATCAACTTGGTATAAAAAAGTAGGAACCCAAATAGCAAACGCAACAGTAACTAGGACACCAATCATCCTCAATGTAAAAAAGCAAAAAGCAAAAATCGACATCGAACTTTGGGTGAACCAAAATCAGGAGGTGTGGATCACCCAATGCTCGCCATCGGTCTGGACCCTCAGCCCATAAATCTGGGCAAACAAATTAACCGCCCGCCTCACCCCACGGTTATCTCCCATCCGGAAATAATCATGCCCGAACATGACCCCACCCGGCCGCAACAACCGGAACGCCCGGTTAATATCGGACCAAGCCGAGTTAAACTCGTGACCCGCATCGATCTCGATCAGATCCGCGGTCACCCCCCACTGGCACAGCCTCGACAGGGTCGAACCGGTCGAGAACGGGAGCGGCAGGACCGAATCGGTCACGTTACTGTACACCACGTTCTGCATGAACTGATACAACAGCATCACGTCACCATTGATGTGATTGATGAACTGGAACTGCTCCCGAAACCCGGGCCACCCGCGGAAATCATCGATACACAGAATGAGCGTGTCGTCGAGGCCGAGCTGACGTGTCAGGGTGGCCATGTGGACGGCGGACGCGCCGAGGAAGGTGCCGACCTCGATGATGATTTTGGGGCGGACTTCTTCGATGAGGTGGCGGAAGACGGCGCCCTTGGACCCCCAGCCCTTGAGGCTGCGGTGGCGGAGGGAGTTGGCGACGTGGGGAGGGGGGAAGTTGTCGAAGGGGGACGCGCCGCCGTAGACGCGCGTGAGGATGGTTTCGCGGATGAGGTCGGTGGGGATGGGGTCGATGCAGTTGGGCGCGACGCGGAAGTTGTCGATCTCCGGTGGGAGGGTCATGGCGGCGGTTGCGGATGCTAGGCGGGAGGGGAAGTTGATGTTGTTCGTGGCGGCGGCGGCGGCGGCGGAGGAGGAGGGGAATGGGTTGGAGGTGGCGGTGTAGTAGCCAGCGAAGAAGGCGAGGAAGGCGAGAGTGAGGTAGAAGAGCGGGGAGGTGAAAATGGTGCGGCAGAGGGACCGTTTTGGGGATCTAATTCTGTTGCCGTGGAGGCTCTTGATCTCGTGATCTTTCATGTTTGAGGGTTGGTTTTGGGGAATGTATGTACGTCTGTGTGTGGATATATATATATATATATATATATATATATATATATATATATATATATATGGCACTTTGGAGGGGAAGAATGGCAGCAAGCAACGGGGGTTGCGAAGAATGGGAAAAAGGAGATAGGCGAGTATGCATATGTCCATGTTGAAGTTGCGATCTTGAAGTTGATGGGCTCACAAAAATTAGGAAAACGGGTTGTAGCTAGGGGATGTCCATGTAGAGAGAATGTGACGGATATTGATAGAAGAAAATGATTGATTTAATAATGTAGATTTGCCCAGCAACATTCATTGAAATTTTCATTTATATATTGTGCTTTTCGACATGAAAATTGTGTTTTTTTTTAGTTTTTTTTATTTATTGAGATGTCAGTCAACATTTAAGTAGATTTTTTAATGTTAAAAAGAAAATTAGAATTTTTTTAATTAAGCTTAAGGAATATATACTATATAAAAAATTCTTCGGAACAACAAAAACCCTTCTCCTCCTCTTCCTCATAATCGCCATCGACACAGACTCAGATCTCGTCATCAACCTTCTCTCCCTTCAATCCCAATTCAAATCCGGTCTTATCTACCTTGAAGACCTTCCTCTGTAACATCGAGTTCAAAGAAGCTAAATCTAGATTCTCCCTCAGCAGCATCAATTCTCTTCCTCACATCAGCCTAATCGGGCCCGATTTCTAGAACCCTAAGGATATAGAGAAGACGGACCAAGGGCATTTCTTGAGGCTAGTGGAATAAGTGGCGGAATTCGTTCAGCTGAACATTTTGAAGTCTTGGATAGCATTCACAATCATATTCTTCTTCCGCTGAACGTCCTACATCGTAAAGAAGGTCATCGCAGGCAAGATTATGTTCCACGATCCGAAGGTCTGGTGGGATGGTGTTCTCTTACCAAGGGGAAGAAACATAGTGGATCAATTGAAACATGGGAAGAATCCCGCTTTCTTTCCTCGACTCTTAGTATTAGACCAGTTTCGGGCTTCTAGCCCTGGTAATTACCTATACTTTTTTGTTTCTTTTCTCCGAAAGTGTGGATCTTGTTGCCTTCCTACTTCTTGTAGTGATTGCAAATGAAATGGATCATCCGTTGTTTTACTATTGATTTTGGATTTGTGTTGTTTGAAAATAGTGGCTTCGTAGATTAAACAATTCTCATATAAACAAGCATGGTATTTAAATTACAATTTCGCTAAAGATCGGTATTTATAATGGTGGTATCCCAATTATGTTCAATCTATTGATAATTTTGTCCTATGTCAAAAAGATACTTATTTGACACTTCATACGGCGTTTTGCTAGAAAAATACCTCTTACAAGAAATCATATCAGTACGAAAAGCAAAAAACAGGACGACAATTGTCCGTTTTGTGACAAGCACGAGACTCAAGCTAATATTTTCGGGGAGTGTGAGTGGTCCACCAGGCTATGGCGTGGACCAGAGCTGGCGGATTGCTTTGATTGCCGTCAGTTTGAATGTTGCTACGCGTGGTTCAAACTTCAAAGCCATGCTAGACACCAAGCAGAGGCTGAGCTGGAAGATTGGAGTGTGCTCTTTTGATTTCTTTGGAAGGAACGAAACGCCTATATTTAGTGGCTCTTAATCATTGAGAAGAACCAGAGTAACTTGCCTATTATTTGAATCTCATCACTACATGTATAAATATACCATCACCATGGGACCAGATCAGGTCAGTATCCTTGGTATCAGTAACTATCAGTAATCCAATTATGTGTCCCCACGTGTCAACTTTTTCTTTTTATTTAAATTAAACACGGAGGGGCATTAAGGTAAAATTGCACCCCCTATTTAATGATGTCTCTGACGCGCTGACGATGACCAGATCACATCAGCACCTTCTCTCTCCTCAAAAAACCTTTAATTTTCCTTCTCTTAATCTTTAACGGACGATTTCTCACTCGTTTTAAGTCAAAATTTAAATTTTTTTGCACAGTTAGATCAGATTAATTGTGCTCTTCAAAATGATATCCACTTTGATATTTTTTAGACATAAAAAAATTTGTCAGTTATTACCAGTCTATACCATATGGTAATGACTGGTATTGACCATACCATATGGTATGAAAAAATTTGTCACATCAATATATATTACGTTACCACCCAATACCATATGGTATAGTGTGGTAATATCAATATATATTTTGTTACCACACTATAAAATATATATTTCGTTACCACATAATACCATATGGTATAGTGTGGTAATATCACACAATATCATACAATACCATATGGTATAGTGTGGTAATATCAATATATAATTCGTTACCACACAATACCATACATTACTATATGGTATAGTGTGGTAATATCAATATATAATTCGTTACCACACAATACCATACATTACCATATGGTATAGTGTGGTAATATCAATATATATTTCGTTACCACACAATACCATATGGTATAGAGTTATAATATCAATATATATTATCTAAAAGAAAAAAAACAGGAGGTAGAGAAAAATCGTCTTGTGTCGCCTCTCATTTCCTCTTCCGCAATCAAGAAAACCAAAATGCCGAAAAAATGAGAAAGATCGAAATTGAGGCCAACGAGATGATGAAGAGAAGAAATGCAATGAAAAAGAGTGGCTCCAATTTTTATTCGTCATGTAAAAAAAAATAAAGAAGAAGAGAAAGGAACAGATTTAGATCTAGAAATGAGATTGAGAGAGAAAAAGAGAGAAGATCTGGAAAAGAGATTGGGAGAGAAAAAGGAAGAGAGATGGAAGATAGAAAGTTGCAGAGAAGTGATTTCGCTTTCCTTCTTTAAAAGTGCAGCCATTAAATACGAAATAAAATAAAATAAAAAATTTAATGTATAAACGGACAAAAATACCCTTCCCTACTCAACGTTTGGCCCAACCACACGATTGCATGCCTCTTAGATCTATGGTCCCTATTCATTACTGACATGTCAGTTAGGGCTGGCTATTTGGACCGGGACCGGATGAAAAACCGGAAACCGGACCGAGACCGGACCGGGACTGGATAGTAAACAATCCAATCCAATCTTTGGGCTTAGATTTGAGGTAAAAAACCGGATAAAGACCGGATAAGAGATCTCAACACCCAAAACTTAAGGGTAATTTGCATAAACGGTCACAAACCTTTACACTTAGTACAAAACTTAACCAACTCCTCACCCTTTTAGGCCTTAGGCCACTCAAATTCCCACAATCTCAATATAAAATCAAGACCGAATTGGGACCGGACTGTATCCAATCCAATCTTCGGTCCTTATATTCTAAAAAAAACCGGATTGGACCGGATCAATTTGGGCCAATTTAACCGGACCGGCCCGTATAGCCACCCCTAATGTCAGTAACCAAGTGGTTACTGACCCTATCTGCTGCCCATCACCATGACTTGATCAATGAACCGATTTGATAAAAAGAAACAAAATACACATTCAAATAGTTTACATGATAACAATGTGGATGACAACAAAATCTATCGCACCCTAAATGCAAACATTAGAGATACCAATCATCTCTTATAAAGACAAAAAAAAAAAAAAAACATCAATTGAATTTGGAAAGAAACAAAGTCAAGAGGTGCGGATCACCCAATGTTCGCCATCAATTTCAACCTTAAACCCATAAATCTTGGCAAACAAGTTAACCGCCCGCCTCACTCCAAACCCATCCGCGTTACGAAAATAGTCATGCCCGAACATAACCCCACCCGGTCGCAACAGCGGGAAGGCCCGGTTAATATCGGACCAAGCCGACATGAACCCGTGACCCGCATCGACCTCGATCAGATCCGCGGTCACCCCCCACTGGCACAAATTCGACAGGGTCGAACCGGTCGAGAACGGGAGCGGCAAAATCACATCGGTCACGTTACTATACACCACGTTCTGCATGAACTGGTACAACAACATCACGTCCCCGTTGACGTAGTTGATGAACCGGAACTGCTCGTTGAACCCTGGCCACCCGCGGAAGTCATCGATGCAGAGAATGAGCGCGTCGTCGTCGAGGCCGAGCTGACGTGTCAGGTTGGCCATGTGGACGGCCGACGCGCCGAGGAAGGTCCCGACCTCGACGATGGTCTTGGGCCGGACCTCCTCGATGAGGTGGCGGAAGACGGCGCCTTTGGTGTTAAGGATGACGGGGAGACGATGTTGCCGGCGAGAAAGAATCTAAATAAGCTTATATTAGAGCGGTGTCGTTCAAGAGTCCGTTGGTCAAGTTAGTTTTAGTCACTATGTTCCTGTTGATTATTGTTTGAGTCCATAGTGGTTGTTAAAGAGCCTGCAACTCCTGTTTGAGTCAAGGTAGGAGTCAGTTAGCTAGATTCCTGGATTAGTGACGTTAGAAGTTGTTAGTCGTGGCCGAGTTCAAGGGCCTGAACTTGTATTTATAGTTTACTTCATCATTTCAATAAAAGTTGTCAGTTTGCCTCCAATTGCTTTTACATAGTGGTATCAGAGCAATCGCATACTGTAACCAAAGTTTTTCATGAATCTTGAGTGAACGTCTGCAAGTCTGGTTGCAGAGTTGGGATCAGGGAAACACGAGTGTTTTAGGTGAGAAACACAAACAGTGAGGTGTGTGAAAAGGTGTTTATCTAGCTTTGGAAAGTACAAGTGATTAGTGAGGTTGCTTTGGTGGTTGGTGAGTCTATTCTCAAGATGAGTGATAGCAGTTTTGCTCAAGTTGGCATTCCCAAGTTTGATGGGGATTATGACCACTGGAGTCTGCTAATGGAGAATCTGTTAAGGTCAACAGAGTATTGGGATGTTGTGGAAACAGGTTTTATAGAACCTGGTGAGGGAGAAGAGCTTACTGCAGCTCAATGGAAGAATCTGGAAGAATCAAGGTTAAGGGATCTGAAGGCTAAGAACTTTATGTTTAGTTCCATTGACAAGACTATCTTGAAGACGATCCAAAAAAAGACTACAGCCAAGCAGTTATGGGACTCTATGAAGATTAGATATCAAGGTACTGCCAGGGTACAGAAGGCAAGGCTGCAGGCTCTCAGAAGGAGCTTTGAGATTCTTGAAATGAAAGAAGGTGAGTCTGTAGCAGAATATTTTGGAAGAGTCATGATTATTGCCAACTCTATGAGAAATTATGGTGAATCAATGAATGATGAAAAGATTGTGGAAAAGATTTTGAGAACTTTGACAGCAAAGTTTAATTATGTTGTGTGTTCTATAGAGGAATCCAAAGACATATCAGAATTGTCAGTAGATGCCTTGCAAAGTTCCCTACTTGTTCACGAGCAAAAGTTTTCAAAGAACTCAACAGAAGTGGACCAAGCCTTGAAATCAACTCATGAATATGGGTGGAAAGGAAGGGGACAAGTACAAGAAGCTTACCAGAGTAAAGGAAGAGTAAGCAGTAGAAGTTGGAGAAGAGAAGATATTCAATGCTACTACTGTCATAAATTTGGCCACTTCAGAATCGAGTGTCCAGAGTGGTATATCAATCATTATGCAAATTACTCTACTTCATCCTCTAATCATGATAGATATCATGGGGATATGAAGGAGGATGTTCTACTAATGGCATGTGCAGAACCAATTGGGAAGAACGAGGTACCAATTTCACAGTTAGCACCTCAGGATATACCATCAGTGGATAAAATAGAAACTTGTTGGTTTCTAGACTCAGGCTGTACCCATCACATGACTGGTAACAAGAATTGGTTCTCTAGTATTGATTACTCTTTCTGTTGCACTGTGAGATTAGGAAATGGATCTGAGTTGCAGGTGGCTGGTAGAGGAACCATTAGAATGAAAGTTGAACACAGGTATATAGTTATTCATGATGCATTCTATGTGCCTGGGTTAAGAACAAATTTGTTGAGTATTGGAAAGATGCAAGATAAGGGATTGATCTTTCTGATTCGCCATGGAGTCTGCAAAGTTTATCATGATGAAAAAGGTCTCTTATTCAGCATCAGAATGAAGACAAACAACATGTTTGTGTTACATGCTGATCCTGCGAATACTTTGGCAAAGCCTGAATATCAATGTCTACAGGCCATTGGAGCTAAAGTAGTATGTGAAGGGGAGACTAGTTATTTAGATGCTATGCTTGAGGAGGATGAGCCACCTATAGTAACAGAGACAGCTGCTGCAATTTCATACAGTGCATTGCTGGTTCAGGAAAAAGTAGATGTTGAGAAGTTAGAGGAGACAGACATGTTGGGGCCTCTCTTCTCTTCATCCTTGGTATCCATAACCAAGAAGTCATTGAATCGGGACTTAAACAGAAGTCTGCTAGCTTTATCACCTCTTTGTAACTGGTTCAGTTTTCATTTAACTGTCCGGAGGGCACTCTGTCATGAAAAGCTAACAGAGGCGGCTCATGAAATGCAACCACTAGGACTGCTTGTGGTTGCAGGGGAGGAGATTAAGGCTCTAAAGACATGTTTCAAGAAATTTGAAAGGTACCTTTTACAATTTCACAAAGCAAGTTGTTCTTGTGAAAATGTCCTATTCTCTAAGGAGCTAGAGTCAGATTTGATGTGCTTGAATGTGAATGCTGTGATGTATGATAACAGTGGTGAGAAACAGATTATGAGTGAGAAATTGGTTAGGAAGGGTAAGAAACAGGCTATGAAAGGTAAACCCTCAATGATATTCATTCTGGGGGTACAAGTGTTCCAAGGAAATGAAGGGAAAATGTGTATTGGTCGAGCAGCTGATGTTGTTACTTATGACTGCAAAATTGTGGAGGGTGTTTTTAGTCACCAGCTGAAGCAGTTTGTGGTAGATGAAAACAAGGTTGTCCCAAGTATTTCCAATCTAGACACAAGAGCTGATGATGTTGAGGAATACCAGCTTGAAGTTACTGAGAAATGGAGTCCAGGAATGTATAGGAAATCTACTTATCTGGACATACATGAAACTGGGGAGGACAATGATCACAAAACGAATCATGCAGTGAAGAAAAAGGAGCTTGTTCCACTTCTTGTAATCGGTTCTGCAGCAAGGTTAGCTCACTTTGTAGTTGTTTTTGCAGCTCAATTAATCCCCTTAGCAGCAGACGTTTTAGCTGGATTGTTGCAATTCTCTAGAATTCAAAAATGGCTAATTGCAGCTGGCTTGGTCAAGAACGTAATGGCGGGTGATTTGATCTATTTTGGAGTTAGTTTTGTAGCCAGGTTTTTCAGTTATAAAGCTGGTTTTGTAGCAGGTGATATGGATAGTAGAAAAAGCTTGTATGCTTTTGCATTCCAAGAAACCAGGGGAGTTGTATATGGAGCCTACAATAAGGAATTGTTGGCTATCTTGTTCGTCCTTGAACAAGAATTTGCAGCTGCTACTTATTATGCATCACAGTGCATATGTGTCAAGAGGTTATTGGAGAAAACAGTTTGGAAAGTTAGCTTCACGGAAGGAACTAAGATAGTGTGTGATAGCTACTCAATGGTTAAGCTGTTCAATTCCAATTTTCTGAGGAATCTTGTAAATGGTGGTGTGATTGGCAATTATGATAAAATAAGTAACTTAGTGACAAAGGCATTGAAGCTGGAAGCCTCAGAAGTTATGGATGAAGTAGCAGAGGTAATAAAAGAAGTTCTGAAGCAGGAGATATGGGAACTGAAGGCTTCTGAGATAGATTATCATGCAGTTGTGCACAAACATGAAGTTAGTGATAGAAGTGTGTCGAGACTGTTGCTGGGAAATGATGACGTTGGATGAAGTGTGAACTGAAGCTTGGGAATTGGCTTCAGTTCAGGGGAGGATTTGTTAAGGATGACGGGGAGACGATGTTGCCGGCGAGAAAGAATCTAAATAAGCTTATATTAGAGCGGTGTCGTTCAAGAGTCCGTTGGTCAAGTTAGTTTTAGTCACTATGTTCCTGTTGATTATTGTTTGAGTCCATAGTGGTTGTTAAAGAGCCTGCAACTCCTGTTTGAGTCAAGGTAGGAGTCAGTTAGCTAGATTCCTGGATTAGTGACGTTAGAAGTTGTTAGTCGTGGCCGAGTTCAAGGGCCTGAACTTGTATTTATAGTTTACTTCATCATTTCAATAAAAGTTGTCAGTTTGCCTCCAATTGCTTTCACATTTGGATCCCCAGCCCTTGAGGCTGCGGTCCCGGAGCGTGTTGGCGACGTGGGGCGGCGGGAAGTTGTCGAAAGGGGAGGCGCCGCGGTAGATGCGGTTGATTAGGGTTTCGCGGATGAGGTCCGTGGGTAAGGGGTCGGCGCAGCTGTTTGCGACCCGGAAGTTGTCGAAGTCCGAAGGGAGGGTCGTCACGGCGGCGGTTGTTGTTGTTGTTTGTAGTTGGGATGAGAAGTTGGTGGAGGTGGAGGTGGCGGAGGAGGAGGAGTTGGAGGTGGCGGTGAAGTAGCCGACGTAGAAGGAGAGGAGGAGGAGCGTTAGGTAGAATGGCGGGGAGTTGAAAATGGAGAGGCAGAAGGGAGGTTTTGGGGGTCCTTTTTTGGCGCGGGGGCTTTTTATCTCGGGATCGTTCATTGCGGGGAAGGTATATGTGTGTGTACGAAGAGATTTGGTTGAGGCTTGTTTTGGGTAATGTAAGGCTATCGGTGTTTGTGTATATGTAGTAGAGTGGGAAAAGTAGGGCTGGCTATTTGGTCCCGGATTGTTTGGTTTTACCCGAAATCGGACCGTATAAACTGGATCGGGATCGGACTGGGATCGGATAGCAAACAATGCAATCTCATATTCGGGCTTAGATTTGAGGTAAAAAACCGGATAAAGACCGGATAAGAGACCCCCAACACCTAAAATCAAGATAAAATTGGGACCGGACTGGATCAAGACCGGACTGTATCCAATACAATCTTTGGTCCTTATATTCCCGAAAAGACCGGACTAGGACCGAATCAATTTGGTCGAATTTAACCGGACCGGACCGTATAGCCACCCTTAGGAAAAGGGAGGTATACGTAGCTAGCTAGATGTCAATATTGAAGTTGAGAGACTCCCAAATAAGAAAAACGAGTTCCAGCTAGGGGGATGTCCATATATAGTATGCGAGGGATCCATTCGTATTAATAAAGAAAATGATCGATGTCGTTTTAATGTAGAGAGAGGATGTGGTTCAATTAGAGTGCAGAACAACGATGCAAACATGTAAGAGAGAACAGAGAGGAGCAGAGGTTATGTCCAAGTTGTTGAGTAAAATGGGTAAAATTATGAGTGATGGATGTGGATTCTAGTTTAAGACGATGATGAGAGCATATTAAGGTTAACATAGATGATTTTTAGTTTGAGATAATGAATATCGAGAATATTTACAAACCAGGAATAGGCTTTGTGGGCTATGAATCGACAGGGAGACTATCATTTGCTTTTGGTAAATACTACGAAGGTATGCAAAGATTCGTACCAAATGGAATTGTCGTTAAGAGATGCTATGAATTGGTGCCCAATTCATCGTGTGTTATCTGGTGATTCTCAACTGGTTATTCGACGTGTGAGTTTGGGAGACAATTGACACATGATTTAGGTGGTGCAATTCTAGACGATATTTGGCTGATGGCATCTAAATTCCAATTTGTTTCATATTGTTTTGCTCATCATTGCTTCAATAGGGATGACCATCTTGAGCCAAAAAAGGACCTCTTATCAAAATTTTGACAATTGGTCGACTTTCTCGAATGGTTATTATCGAACTTATGACTATATATACATGTACTTTGCTGAAGGCCTAGACCTGGCATTGCGGCTGGGATATAGAAAACTAGAGCTCAATATGGACTCTAGAATAACGTTGTACATAATAAAAAACAGAGATCGCACTTATCACTGTCACGGGCTTCTTGCGAAGTTGTTTAGTAACTTACTTTTGATGAATTGGACTATTGAGATTAATCATGTTTATCGTGAATGTAATTTCGCAACTAACTTCCTAGCTACTAAGGTCGTTCTTTTGGCACATATCCTTTCAATGCGAGCAACCTGAACCAATGTTATTGGTAATACCACGATTCTATGGAAAGTTCCATGAATCGTATGATTAATAATATGATATAGGACGCGTTTAGCATCTTGTCATTCTAAAAAAAAAGCATTTCGAAATTGTTTATGTAGCTAGGCACCACCCACTTCCATATATCCAAAATAGAGAAGATTTTTGTTCGATAAAATTTGACTCTTGTTAAGGCTTTGAACATATGACTTAGATCATGAAGCTATTAATCTTCTCTCTCGATCAACTCAACACGGTAGGGTTTGGTGAGATCCATTCGATTGGAATAGCCTCGAGTGTCCCGAGATCAAGTAAATAAGCATAAGGTGAATAACTCATGAGTAATACGTCCACGTCTGCGTGATATTAGCATTCTTTCTTATATATATCCCTTTAATTTTTAATAGATTATTTCTCTATTGTTTTAATTGGGAATTTAATTTTTTTGCACAGATAAATCAGATTAATTATGTTATTCAAAATGATACCCACCTTGATATATTTTTGTAACAACCAGTTTATACCATGACAGTATCGATTGGAATTAAATAAGAGCATACCATATGGAATGAAAGTTAGTAACGAGAGATATTAAAAAAAATCTAAAAAGATATTGAAAATTGATCTCATTTTGTAGAGCAAAAACGAACCCGTTCCATTTGTGCAATTTTTTTTGTTAGAATGAAGAGGATAATAGTCGATTAAAAAAACTAGTGAAAATAAAATATTTTTAATTTGTAGCCCTTAGATATGAATTCTCTGGACCCACCTAACTCTTAATCAAGGGTGGTTACTCACCCTATCCTGGAACTAGCCTCGAATAGGTTCATAGGTTAGGCCTCGCTCTTCCTTAACCAAGGGTATATCGGACACATAACTAATTAAAAATAACAAAAGAGTTGCCAAAATAGAATAATAAATTCACTTCATCTTATCTAAACTGTGTTCATCTTTGTTCTCTTGTTTCCCATTTATTCTTTGAGAGAGCTTATGAAATAAAATTGGAAACCCAAATATAGTTAATTTAATTTAAAAATTAATGATTTAAAAATCGTATTTCATCGATGGTTCAAACAAAAAAAATTTATACTTGTGTTTAACAATATAAAGTAATTGAACCACAATTTCAATATAAAATAACATACTACTAATTTTTTCGGTATAATCTCTGGTACAATTCATCTACTTAAAAACTTAAAAAATGGCCTTCCTTGAAGCAATCAAATTTGCCTTTGCTTCCTACTAGATTTGTTTTTATTTGGATGTCTTGTAACTTACTTGGTGTTGTCGATGCATTGGGTTTGGACTCTTCGACTATCTTTCTGACTCAATTTGCATCCAGTCACACTTGTCTACCTCTAAAGTACAAGGGTTACCATACTATTTCAGGCCTTGCCGCAAATGACACCGTTTTACGTCCTTACAACCTCGAACAACGATGACCACCACCAACATCCTTCAGAGCTTGAACAAAGAACGACTCAAAAGCCTCCATTTCATGCCCAACCAAAACGACGCCGACTTCAATCCCACCACTCCCATCTCCGCTCTCCGCCACAGAGATCCCCCGCGTCTTGTCCAGCGACGTCGTTTCCATCTTCACCGGCTTCCCCAACCCGAAATCGATCTGGTAAAACCCCAGCTTGTGGGACCCAGCCACCCCGAACTTTTGCACTTCCGGACCCACGCTCCTCAGCCGCCCCATCTTCTCCACCGCCGCCTCCGAATTCACTTCCCCCACCGCCGTCGCCACTCCCCTGACCAACTCGCTAATCTTCTCCGCCGCAACCGCGATCCCGTCCTCCCCCATCAAGCTCCCCGCCTCCGCCACCAAGTAATCCACCCCTAAGCAATTCCCGAAGTAATTCGACGGGATCGCCGCCAGATCTAGCCGGGCTCGGCAATCCACAGACCAAACCAAGTAGACGTCTCTGTCTCTCCTCCCTCCTCTGGCTTTCACCAGACAAACCGCCACCAACGCACACGTCACCACGAACGACGACAGGTGAAGGCGTTCATCCGAATTTGTCCGATGGCTCAGAATCTTCTCTCGGAGTCTCCCAATTGAGTTCGGGCTCAGCTGGAACGTCGCTCGGAGAAGATCCGGCGGCGGCGGGGATACCTTCTGGAAAACGTTCAAGCTACGAGGGTTATAGGTAATCGATTGCCGAGTAAGAACTTCGTCCCACCGATTCAAGTAAGCGGTGGCGAGATCCGACGGATCTTCCACCGCCGTTCGATTGAATGATGGGGTGAGCTCCTTCGGGAGCCGATGATTCTCTCCGTGCTTGCAGATCGAAGCCCAAGCTTTGAGGAACATGGCGGTGGTTTTCCCATCGATGACCGCGTGGTTGAGGGTAATCGCGACGGAGAATCCCCTGTTCCGGAAGTAAGTGATCTGGAGGGATATGACGGAGGCCGTCGTCTCGGATACTTCTAATTGAGGTACATACGGCCGCGATTCGGCGGCTTCGCGGGGTGCGTCGCCGGCCAATCGGTCCAAATCGGCTGTTGATTCGGCGATGGTTAGAGAGACCGCGTCGCCTGGAGTGTAGATTACGACGGGAGTGGGTGACTGTGGCGGCCATCGGAGTTGGCCGGCGAGGGGGAGGAATTGGGCGAGTGTTAGGGAGAGCGACCGCTTGAGTTTGGGGAGAAGCAGGGAGTAGAAGGAATGGGGAGGGATCGGAGAAGCGGTGGGTTTGTAGAAGTAGACCAACTCGACTGGTGGGAATCTGAACCAGGTGGTGTCGAGGTAAGTTAGCGGGAGTGTGAATTGTGTGGCGGATCCCGGCGAGTCGGCGGCCGGAGTTACCTTGCAGAGTTCTGAAACTTGCAGTGTGGATGCAGAGGATTTGGACGCCATTGTTTCTTTTTTGCGTTCTTTCTTGACTACTGAGTATTTGATAGATATATAAATAACGATGTCCATTGCAAGATGTAAATGGCGGTGAAATCCAGAGAAGAGATTCATCACGTCTCTCCTCGTGCTCCGCCTGTTCGCCTCACCTGCCGGCTGCCAACGTGGAATTGGTTACTAACCCTGGTTGAATTGCGCTTGCATTTGCGTCATTTGTTTATCTGTCGCTCCGCCACAAGTGCTCCTTTTTGGAAGATTGGTTGGCGGAAATGCTAACGCTGCTATATATTCACGATGATCTGACTGGCGAATGATGTGCTATGCTCCATACAGGACATAAAACAAACTACCTATGGACCATTTACACAAACTTAAAAATAGAGACTCGACTAGAAGTAAAACATGTCCAAATCAAAGTAAAAAGTAGTGATGGCAATGGATGGGCGGTGCCTCAATGCTCCGTCCCATGTTATTATGGGTCGGGGCGGATAATACTCGTACGGGTACGAGGCGGCGGGTCGACCCAGTTTTACATGTTATTTGGGGAAAATACAAGCAAAAATTCACTTTTTAAGATAAAATGAAGGGGAAAAGACTTCATGATTGAATAAGAGTGATAATATAATGGGTAATTGAGTCTATTTAGTTGAAAAATCAAGTCTAATTAGTTTTAAAAAAGCCAAAATAGGAGATATATGAATGGATATCATAAGAAATTGACATAGAACAGACCAAGAACGGGGCGGGTCGGGGCAGGGCGAGTCGAAAGTTGATACCCGTGCCCCGCCCCATATTACAGTCTACAGCTGGTCGGATAATACCTGCCCCATCGAGGGTCAGGTCGGGTAATACCCGGCGGGGCAGGTTCAAATTGCCATCTCTAGTTAAAAGTCTAATTCTATCCTACATAGAGGCCATTAAATACAAGGTTGTCAAACAAGTTTTTACTGTTGCACTAGTTTATACAGTGAAATGGTTCGATCAGTAGTATAACCGGTGTGTGCCGATTCATACCAATTTAACAAAATATGTAAAAACTCATTAACAATGAAATTAATCATATATAAACGTATTTGAACTTAATTTATTTACAATTGAAATTGATATTTAAATAAAATCCGACATTTACCATAAGATTACATATACTCATATTTAAAGACAATATTTAACGTAAATATCTAAACGTTTATACTTGAATCCAACAAATAACATCAACATTTAACTTTTTGATATATTAATTTTTTATTAATTAAATTTACTAAAATAACATCATTTTGCTTAGAGATCGTAACCGTTACCGATTATGCCGACCGGTGTGACAACCATAATTAAATTTCAAAGAGAATGATGCTTCCACTCTTCTTCTTCCCTCACAAAAGGAACACTCTCACTTAAAGACTCTCTATGTAAGAACGGAAGAGGAAACATAGTTCACTTGAAGAACATATTAGAGTTAAAATGAAAGCAAATGGGATTAAAGTTTGTACATGCCTTTTATATTTAGTGTTTTAATTAACTGTATATTGGAGATTGTGGAGATTCAAATACACGATCACTTGGTTAAACCAACTTTAGTATCATGCCAAAATCATTTGATTTTAATAACTCGAGTTGTTAGACGAATGTTGATTCTGGAGAATTAATAAGTTGAAGATGGATTTTAACTCTGGTCTCATTGTTCTCACATTTATCAATTACAACTTACTCTAAAAGATAGAGATGAGGCATCTATAACATACGAGAAATTTTACAATGCTATATAGTATTGGTGCTATAGGATTTTGCTTTTATGGTACAACTTAAAATTGTACATTTACGATATGGTACAACTTCATATTGTACCTATACTCTTGGTACAAATTCTTTTATGGTACAACTTGAACTTGTACCTTATGTGATGGTACAACTTTAAGTTGTAAAGTTGTACCATAACATAATGGTACAAATTGTTTTATGGTACAACCTAAACTTATACATTTAATGTTATGGTACAACTTTAAGTTGTACATTAAAGCACCAATACTATATAGCATAGTAGAAGTGCTCATAACATACACCATTGTCATTTACAGATGATTATAAAATCCATTATCATTTATAAATGATTATGAAATCCATTTTACATCTTAATAAATAGTATAGAAATGTTATAATTAGATGTTTAAAATATTACAAATAGAATGCTCATATACATATCCTGTGTTTCAATGTGAATGACGACCAACTTTATATATACTGATAAAAAAAAACATTTTCTTTCTGGATATGTATGTGAGTTTTTGATCAGTGATGAGATTTTACTTCCGTATATAGTCCAAAAAAAAAAAAAACGCATTGTTCTGTCTCCCATTGTTTAATAAGAAAACAGGTGGTGAGGCAAAGCACAAAAAAACTTCCTGAGCGGAACTAATTACTGTGAGGGAGAAGGAACGATTGAAGCCGTAGGGATCGGGATCTAACGAGGAGGCGGCAAAGGGCCAGAGAGAAGACGATTCTTGAGAGGGAAACGGAAGTTGTAGAAGGGTTCGGATCTCGGAGGCGGCGGCGGTTGCGGATAGGGAGCGCGGGATTACGCTCTTTGGACTGAAAGTTAGGATCTTGGTTAGGGATTTGGCCGGGAATTTTGAGGAGATCGAAGCCATTTTCTGAACTGCGGCGAGGAAATTTTGGGGTTGCAAGCGATTTCGGGATTCAGGAAAATTGGGGCGAGAAGAGGGAGATCTCGTTGTTGGCTGAAAATTCCGATGTTAGGGGGCAGAAGAACCACACCGCCAACATCGGTGGGTACGCGGTCGACGGGTGTTGAGTGTTCATGGGCAGCAGTCCGGACGATGAAGGACCTGACGGCGGGAGGGCGGCGCTCATGTGCACATCGTGCGGCTGCCACCGGACCTTTGACAGCAGATGGTGTCCCCGTGAACGGTCCACGACGAGAGAGTCAGCGACGGCGCCGATCTCAACGGCATGTCACTGCTGAAATCTGCCGGAATAGGAACGGAAGGATTTAGGACGGTTACGGTAACAGGTTATTTATTTAATTTTATTATTTTACATTGTGCCAAAAATCGGAGTTTCCAATCCCCCACCTACGAGCATGATCAGAAAACAAGGTTTAGTGTGCTCATCCGGCACTTTCCCACAATCTCGCCGCTTTCGCCTTCGTGCGACTGTTCGCTCCTTTACCAGGATTCGCTCCATCGTTTTCCGACGACATCACAACGGGCGGAGTGGTTCTTAGTGTTTGTGGAGAGGTTTGTTGGTACTTGAAATTTGCTTTGTTCCTTTAAGGGTTGTTTGTGTGTTCATCTTGCAGGTAGCTTGCACATCAACTCTACTACTGGCCTATTGAAGCTTGACTTATAAGAGATATGAAGGCCCTATTCGGCGGATGAGTGCTTCAAGAAGTTTGTTCAAGAAAGGCGCAAATTCGTTTATCTATGGTTTTAGGCATACTAACAGGGCTGCCCATTGAGTGGCATAAACGGCCCTTGCATCGGTAGCTCAACACTAGGTTGACTACCGCTTTTAATTTTCAAGAATTGTAATATCCTATCTATTTACGATCTATCTATGGAAAAAAAAAACAGGTGGTGAGAAAATAGTTAGTTGTAAAAAATACGATAAATGCCCATAAAATTGTTTTTTTTTCAGAAATTAGATGAATGATGTTAGATTATGCAGTAAACTACAGTTAATAGTTTTCGATTCTATTGAATTTTGTACCACAATTTGATATTCAATTAGCTTGTTGTAAAATTTATATTTCACAAATATCTTATGATTTTATCGGTAAGGCTGATATACGTTCGTCGTTATAACTTGGGTTGGGCCTCTCCAGCCCATCCGAATCCCTAGAAATACAAACCTCCCAAGTAAGTAATGTCTTTCCTTTTGGGCGGGGGAGCGATTGTGATTTGTGATTGGCGACCCGATAGAATTCATACCCTGAGGCCTGAGCCAGAGATGACAATAACAATAACCCGGTCACGGTCAGGACCAAACTGTGCCAACTGCAGAGAAAAAAAAGAACTGGATCCGGAATCCAGAGCGTTGCACCTCTCTCAACTCTCAACCAACTTCAGGGGGAAAAAAGCACACATCACACAGCTAGATTGTAGCTTTCCGTCTCTCTTTCCTTCCCTTCGGCTTCTCCCGACGCTGTCGCTTGGACTTCTCCTCCTCTCCCTCCTCCTCTCGCCATTTCCTCGCTTGACACTTTGAACGGACAGCGCCATCTCAGCCCATCAAATCCCTGCTACTTCCGGAGCTCAAATTCGTTTCCACATCGGGTACATTTGCATCCCCTCCTTTCTTTCACCGTATCGAATCTGGATTGCACAGTCGTGTCTGGCATGATGGCTACACCGCTGTTGCTAGGCCTCTCTGCTGAGCACTCGTTTTTTTTTTTTGACCAATAGCTGAGCACTCGTTGGTGCTTTGTATTTTGATAAGGGATCAGAGCTGGTTATTTGGCACTCGTTCAGGGGGAGGTCGCTTAGGGTTTCATTTGTTCGTCGTTCATGCTGTATGGATACGAGGGGTATAGCGGATTTCATTTGTGATCTAGTTGATGTAATTGCTAGGGATTTATAGGAAATTCTTGATTTTTGGAATCACATTGTCGTGAAATGTGAGTACGGAAGTTAATTTTTGGTTTTCTTCTTCTTCTTCTTTGGTTGTGCGCCCATGAGTAGGTCTGCATGCTCGTATTCCTCCTTGGATTCCTGGTTTCTAGCTATTCCTAAACGTGTCAAACCTTAGAGCCTACTTTTCTTGGTTAACATTTTCCTCTGCCCTTCGGGGCTGGTTTCAATTGGTAATGTAACTAATGACAGAGCTTTCGTTTCAACAGAATGGCGTCAGAAACAGTCAATCCAAATGTCCCTAGCGCGCAAACTGTTGGCAATGCCTTCGTTGAGCAGTATTACCATATTCTTCATACCTCACCTGAGTTGGTTCACCGATTTTACCACGATTCCAGTGTGCTAAGCCGTCCTGATGGGAACGGTGAAATGACATCAGTGGTAACCATGCAAGTAAGCTTTTCACAGTTACTATTAGTTGGTGTTTAATAATAGACTGTCCTGCATTTACTGATCCGATGGTTCATGGTCTGTGGTTGAACTTCTTGCCCTCTTTTACCCCCTTTGTGATAGGGTATCAATGAGAAGATACTCTCATTGAATTTCAAGGACCAAAAGGCAGAGATCAGAACAGCGGATGCCCAGAAATCTTATAAGGATGGAGTTACTGTGTTGGTGACAGGGTGCTTAACAGACAAGGACAATGTAAGAAGAAAATTTGCGCAGTCATTTTTCCTTGCACCTCAGGACAACGGATATTTTGTCCTCAATGATGTTTTCCGGTTCGTTGAGGACAATGAACCACTGGATAACATCTCGGCCAATAGTATTGACAACACCCTGGCAGTTCCCCCAGTGCCAGATCCAGGTAAGACCAGTTCTGTATTTGTGAACCCAACTCAAACTCCATGTGTCGTAGACTTTTCTCCTAGATCTAGAACTTCTAACATTTTGTAGTCTTTTACATCCAGAGGCTTCACATGTTCCTGAACCTTCTGCTCCCGATCCTTCAACTTCAGTTGAGGTAGAGGTTACAAAGGCTTCTGAAAATGAAAGTGAGCCATCGGACCATGAGAAGAAGTTAACAGTGGAAAAAGAAATTCCAGTAGAACCTCAATATCATGCAAACGGGAACCAAACCTCTGTAGTTGATGAATCAGCTTCTTCTACAGCTCAAGAGGATGCTCCTAAGAAATCTTACGCATCAATTGTATGTCTCGTCTCAAAAAATTTCAACTTGAAATTTTTTGAATCATATTTTGTCCTGATATCTACCTTACTTTGTTGTAGGTTAAAGTTGCAAAAGGTAGTCCTGGCCAAATGAAAGTTTATGTTCCTACTAATTCAGCAAAGGCAACCTCTAAGAAAAGTGAGGATCCACCAGTTCCTGTGGTATCCGCTCCAGAGTCTGAATCACGTATGCCAACTGGTGGTGATGCACCTACAGATAGTTTTGATCAAGATGAAGGTGAGTTACTCTTCATGTATATATGGTCTTAGTATGGATTTCTTCTGTATCTAGTTAATTTTCACTAGAGATGGTGTGATATGTCCATTTCACTCTATATGGAATTCTCAAATGCAAAACTAAGGACATGGAAACTGTTCATTGGTTCCTTGAAGTATATCATCTAACTATTTTCTACTCCCAGTTGAGGGCCACTCCGTTTACATTCGGAATTTGCCTCATAATGTGACTGTCTCTCAGCTTGAGGTGGAGTTCAAGAAATTTGGACCAATCAAGCCTGAAGGAGTCCAAGTTAGATACAATAAGGTTGGTTTGGAAACATTGTGAAGCATTCCAGTAGTTATTTATACTTCGTCTCTCTTCGGTATGATGATATATCTTATGTATATTTCTGGTAAATGCAGCAACAAGGATATTGTTTTGGCTTTGTTGAATTCCTTTCTCCGGACTCCATGAATAATGCAATCCAGGTTTGTTCTGGGCACTACCTTTTCCTTGCAATTAGTTGGACTAGCTACTTCTCAGTCAAGATAATTTTCAAAATATCAACATTCTTTCAGAAAATCACGCTATGCTGCAGTTTTTCTTTCTTATGACGGCAGTTTCTGCATGATTCACTTTCTATGTTATATAATGATACTTGCTATGCTACATAATGTCCTTCCACTCCATCTCATTCTCCATATGTTGTATCAGGAATGTAGGATGACTTTAGCTTTGATTTTAATTGGCATATAAAGCTCCCAAGTTTTGTTGTGGAATTAATTAGTATCATTTGGTAAGGCTCCTTGCTGTATTCTTGTGAGCTAGTTTGCCAATGTCATGAAATGGGAAAACCTGGATGTTTTGTCACTCACGTAGTTGACTCTTCCATGATGCACATGTTGGCTTACGTAGATAAAAACTAGTTTTCTTTAGTCACTTTTGATCTGCTCCATCAGCCTAATGTGAAATGTAGATGTTCAAATAGAACTGAGATCCAGCTATATGTCACTCTGCTTTCCTCCTAGTTTGTTATCTAGGTACTATAGATGTTTTAAGGAAACTTGCACCTGGCTGATGTATTGCGGTACGTGTTATAGGTACCCTGTTTCTCATATAAGGTAGTGTAGATGTGTTCTAGTAGTACAAGATTAGCTTATTCTACTAAATCTGGATGGGGAGAGGTAGAAAGATACTTAAGGACGCAATAGTGATGAGGCTATAGAGAATTTGAGATGGAAAATTGACGTGGTACTGTTGTATTGTCTAAGATTCAATGGTGAGCTTGTGATTTAGCATCCCTAAGTGAGTCTGACTACTTGTGAAACTGCCATCTGGCTACGCATAAAACTAGGAGTCAGGCACATGCCTAATTTTTTGCTGTCCTGGATATGTTAATTGTTGCAAGTATATACTGCTGAAGTGGTCCATGCTGATTCTGTTTATTGTGATTTGCTTTTGCTTATTGTTTACATATTTGTCTTTGCTTATTGGTCCAGAACTTATTCTGAGATGCTAACTGGAGTTCTGTTGCCGGTAGTCCTTGTTTGACTATATTTAGTCCTGTTATCCAGAAGTTAAATTTACAATCTTTTCTGTGGTACTCTGTGTTGTTACAGGCTTCTCCTGTTCCAGTCGGTGGACGTCAATCAATTGTTGAGATGAAGAGAACTTCAACTCGAGGTGAGTTTGAGACTCTGCATCCATGTTTAACTATCTGATTATCTTTTAGAAAGGGCAATCGAATGATCATGTTATGTATTTAACATAAACTTGTAAACCGAATCGTTGAATGATGGTAGTTGGTGTTGCAGTTGGTAACGGAAGAGGTAGGTTCCCAACAGGAAGGGGTGGAATGTATCGCAATGACAGCTTCAGAGGGGGTCGGGGGAACTACGGTGGAGGTGGTAGGGGTTTTGGTGGAAGACCGGAGTTTAACAACAACAACAGAGGTGAATATCCCACTGGTAGGGGAAGGGGTTATCCAAGTGGTGGCAGAGGCGAAGGTTATCAACAAGTTAGAGGTAGAGGAGGCCGTTCAGGTGGAGCAGCTAGACAACCGAATAGTGCTAATGCCTCGTGAAAACTCCCTATTTCTCTCTGTGTTGGAGTTTTCATTCCTCAACTGTTCATCAATTGTTCATCCCGTGGGAGTGAGTAAGCGTCCTTGTTTCCCCCATCTATTAGAAATATAAATGTAGAAGTGTTTTGGGTATTCCAGAAATGGATGACCTCTAGATTTCTATACCAGCATGGTTGTTTGCCATAGTGGGGTGGGAGTCCCATTTTGTAGGCTTTAGAATTAGGAGTAGCCATGCAGGCGTGGGGAACATACTCAACTCATCGGAAGTTCTTATTCCGATGTCGGCTGATCGGTAGATTTTTGGATGTTGATCATGATAGAGAAGAGGTTGCGCAGTTAATTGAGAGATGGGTTCCTAGCTATTATTCAAAGGAGTGTTTTCTTTCTTCCTTTCAGGCAAAGCATGTTGATTAATTGTACTAAGTAGTATGCACGATGATAGTCGTTGAACATAATCACAAACTGGAGACAGTTTGGTACACAAAGTCATTAGATTTACACTCAAATTCTTTTGTTAGTGAAAGAACACATCAACGAGGTTTAAAAAAACACATCTATAGGCTGTTTGGTACAACATATGAAGTCTGAAACAGGGTCAGAAATGAACTCTCGAGTCTCGATCGTTTATAAAGACCTCCAAAATTCTAAGTTTATGAAATCATGATGAGGAAGACCTGGAGAAACAGGGCAAGCAAGACAGCCAGCTCCTTGCCGCCGCTGTGACCTTAGTGCACAACGTGGGTTGAGGTTCTTCTGTCGTCGTCTGCACTTGCTGCTGCTCCGGCTGTTGTAGTTGTTGTTGCTCCGACTGTTTTTCATTCTGATGAGTCTCCGCTTCATTTGGCTCCTCCGCCACCGCTGCCTTCTTCTCCCCTGCAGCCTTCTGCTCTGCTTCCACTTTCCTTGTACTGTTTCTTCCCATCTGTTCGTTCTGCAATCTGAAAACCCATCAACAAAGATTAATAAATTTCTCCTTAACTAAACCCCACGAAATTGATTGATTGGTTGGTTGATCAATAGATACTCACATTGGGAACTGGAAAGATTTGGTGCTGCTGGTCGAGTTCCGATTATTGCTGCTGCTGGAGGTGGAATTCCGATTAAGGGAACAGGCAGCTGACTGCGTGCTGGCAACTGGGGCGGCGGCAGCGGCGGGTGGAGGAGGAGGGAGCTGTACCTCCGGAGGGACGTTAATGGTGATATTGTTACTCGGCGGAGGATTAGCTGGGACGTGAATGTTGATGATATTGATATTGTTGATGGGCTGATTGGCAGGAGGAGGCAGGGGAGGCTGCCATGTGGCGGCGGAGGGGGAAGAAGGTGGTTGGTTGTTCGTTGTCCTGGCCGCCGGCGTTGGGGGAAGGGCGGCGTAATAATCTTGATCGAGCATGGGGAGCTCCCCGGATTTATACATCATTGCAATTTGGTCCCTGGAGAAGCTGTTGTTGCCCATGTAGATGCTGAACAGGGACTCGTTCGACGCCGTGCTCCAGTCGATCCCGTTCCCCGACTTGGACGCGAACACGCCGGACGGGATCCGATTGGGGTCGTAGCCGGGTACTGCACAGCCGGCGGTGGGGGAGGTGGGCGTCGGCGGTCGGGGTGGGGAAGAAGAGTCGGCGGAGCTGCTGATGACTGAACCCTCCACGTCACTGCTGGTGACGGCATGGCGATGGCGATGGCGATTGCTGTTGTCGTCAGCGCTGGCCGTGGAGTGGTGGCTGTTTGGGCGCGGGACATTGTTGTGTTCGCGGTCCATGGTTTGACGAATTTGACGCTTTTCTCCTCTGTTTTGTTGGTGATGGCAACTCTGCGGCTAATGCAAATCCGGGTGAAGGGTTGCAATAGCCGGAGCTGAAATTGCAGACGGCGAAGATGATTGAAGGGAGGAAGGAAGAAGATGGATTATAATTAAGACGATGAGTGGATTAATGGCCGGATTAAGAGAGCCCCGTGCAACAAAGCCAAACTGAATTAATCATAATCGCGTTTACTTGATAAGTGTCATTACCTAGCTGTTAACTGATTTTACGCGGGAACTGACAACAGAATTTCTCCGTCAGTGATAACCGAGGCGTCTATCTATAACAATATTATTGGGTTAGTTCCTGCAAATGGTTGTTTGTAGTTTGTGATTAATGCACAGCAGTTCTAGGTTAAACAATTACTAGCTATTTTTGTTGCTAGAAGATGCTCTTTCACCTTGGAAAACCTGCTAACAATATCGCGTGAGTAGTTTGGGATTAATGCACAACAATTATTAGTTTGTACCGTTTGGTTATAATATCATATTCGATAATTAATAGAATTTAGACTTATTTGATTTGGTAATTATCATGGTAATCATTTGAAAGCCCGAAAATCTAAGCTAGCCAGTAATAGAGAAATCAGTGTATGTTCCATTTGTCAGCAGTTCGATTCTAAACGACAACTGGTTTTAAACTGTAGATTTTGTAGTTTTAATTTATTTTCATGTCTTGGTTTCTTATCAGGTCCAATATGCCCGAATATTTAATCATTCAACTAATTTAGTTTTAATATGACCGAGTAATTCAACTTTTATATTATGGTTTTTAAGGTCTTTAATTTCAAATTAAATATTTTCCCCCATTTTTCAGTTTTATACAGCTACACAATTTGTCGTTTTGACGTACATAAGTTATTCAACTTGCATATATGTTTTCTTAATTCTTTAATACGAAATTAGATACTTTAAATTCTTCAATTTGCAAATTTTGTAGTTTAAATTGATTTTCATGTCTTGATTTCTTATCAAGTCCAATATACCTGAATATTTAATCATTCAACTAATTCAGTTTTAATATGATCAAGTAATTCAACATTCGTAGTATGTGTTTTTAAGGTATTTAATTTCAAATGAAATATTTTTTTCCCATTTTCGGTTTTATACGGCTACACAATTTGTCGTTTTGACGTACATAAGTTATTCAACTTGCATATATGTTTTCTTAAGTTCTTTAATAAAAAATTAGATACTTTAAATTCTTCAATTTGTAGCTTTATTCGACGATTCGATGTACCATACGTGAAATCTAATCGTTAATTATATAGGGTGGCATTTTTCTTATGAAATTTCAAAATTTCTTGAACAATTCTCTTTTATTTTGCATCCTTAACAAGGTAAATACCTAGTTATGTAATAATGAAAAGAGTTTAAGAAAAAGATAGTATCAGCAAGACCAATAAGTTTCCCCGCAACAACACCAAACTGTGAGTGGATTTTTCTTTTGCCATAAATTATTTAAATCACACGAAAATGAGGGAATCAACATCCAAATATATCGATTATTTCATCGAATTACTATGCAATCATTCAGAGAGCGAAATCAAATTCCTTAGAAAGTTATTCAGATAGTTATTAATTATGTGTTTCATGATCGTACTAAGCACATAGAGGTACATATTCATTACTTTGAAGAGTTGGTTAATGATAACTATCTTAAGATTTATTACATTATCTCTGACGACCAGATTGCGGATTTGTTGACGAAAGCAGTCTCTTCCAGTTGACATTATTATCTTTCGTGCAAATTCATGGTTCGCACCGCCCATCAATTTGGGGAGGGTTTTAGTGTACATAATGATGATTGTGTTAAGGATGTAATCCTTACAAATTAAAGGTGTTGAAGTGTGTTTGGGGATAGCCGAAAACTATATCTATGTTGGCCCAATGTATTTGATATAGGGCACTCGAGTCTCCCTTATTATTTGCGAGCTTGTTCAGTTAGATGACATTGCTCCTTTAAAGGTTAGTTCACATCTCCAACAAGAATATATGTTCACTAAACGTCTCGGTGCCGAATGGTTTCATTTTCTTCTTTCGAAACCATCAGTTTGTGACCTTTCGTGCTCCAACTTGGGGAGGGAGTATTTTACCAGCCAATTGAAGAGCCCATAAAAAATCCTTACAACCCACTTCGAGGCGACGACCTAGAGCCTCCCAGGTGTGTGTTGCATTCAATTGTCTTTATTGTATTACCCTAATATATCATAAATAACGAAAGGTATATTATTGTGTGTAAGACTATCAACCAAAACATCAATAAGAATAAGAAACATAACAGAAAGTAAAGCTCTGGCGTGGATCAGTCTCGTTTTTTTAGGGATTTCATGTAAATACTTGTCTCTCTTTCTTTTCCGCAAATCATGAATTTGTTGGAAATTCTTCTTGCAGCGAGTTGAATTCTCTTGTTTAATTACTTTGGAGAGCTTTGATGCTCTTATTAACGTTAGTCGTTACATAGAGAAGACTATTAATAGGCTTGTTAGGACAAGTCCTAACTACATAAGACGATTGGCATAAATACATATTGGTACCTAAATTTATATAAATACATATCAGCAAGACCAATAAGTTTCCCCGCAACAGTTTCTTCTAGTCGACATTATTATCTTTCGTGCAAATTGATGGTTCGCACCGCCCATCAATTTGGGGAGGTTTTAGTGCACATAATAATGATTGTGTTAAGGATGTAATTCTTACAAATTATAGGTGTTGAAGTGTATTTGGAGATAGCCGAATACTGTATCTATGTTGGCACTATGTAGTTTATTTGGGCACTCGAGTCTCCCTTATTATTCATGAGCTTGTTCAGTTAGATGACATTGCTCCTCTGAAAGTCAATTCACATCTCCAACAAGCATATATGTTCACTAAAGGTCTTCGTGTCGAATGGTTTCATTTTCTTCTTTCAAAACTGTAAGTTCGTGACCTTTCGTGCTCCAACTTGGAGAGGGAGTATTTTACCAGCCAATCGAAGAGCCCATAACAAATCCTTACCGTCCACTTCGAGCTGGCGACGACTTAGAGCCTCTGATGCTTGTGTTGCATTCAATTGTCTTTATTGTATTACCCTAGTTGATCATAAATAACGAAGTGTATAGTAGTGTGTGTAAGACCATCAATGAGAACATCTTCGCTTTGGTAGCCAATGTTGAAGAGAAAGAGACACTTTTATCAACAGAGTCCATCAAGTGTAAAGAGTCGTGATGGATAATTAGAGTGACACAATCACAAGTTTCCTCTCCGGTTACAATAACTAGAATTTCTTCTCTAGTAAGCGTGTATCTCATATTTATTATAGTATATATATTTTGCTATAGTATTTTCGTTTTCTATCTCATTAGGGTTTTTGTTTGTTTTCCGATATATATTAGAGAAGAACCCCACGAACTTCCAATATTCTCCGACCACCGGAGAAGAGAAGCCATGGGGGACACCAGGATAAGTGGAGAGGTAATCGGGATTGACCTAGGGACGACCTTCTCCTGCGTCGCCGTCGCTCGGAAGGGCCACGGCGTCGAGATCTTAGCCAACGACCAAGGCAACCGAACCACCCCTTCCTACGTCGCCTTCTCCGCCGCCACCGCCAGTTCCGAACGCTTCATCGGAGAAGCCGCCAAGAACCAGGCCACTCTCAACCCTCGCCGGACGATTTTCGACGCCAAGCGACTCATCGGGAAAAAGTTCGACGACCCAGAAGTTCAGAAAGATTTGAACTACTTGCCCTACCCTGTCGTGGAGAGGGAAGGAAAGCCTTGCGTCCAGCTGGAAGTTAACGGCGAGCCGGTATCCTTCACGCCGGAGGAAATAAGCGCCATGGTGCTGTGGAAAATGAAGGAGACCGCGGAGTCGTATCTTGGGAAGCAAGTCACCAAAGCCGTCGTCACCGTCCCTGCCTACTTCAACGACTCCCAGAGGCAAGCAACTAAGGACGCCGGCACCATCGCCGGCCTTAATGTTTTAAGGATAATCAACGAGCCTACTGCCGGCGCCCTAGCCTATGGTGTGAACCAGGACCCCAACACAAAGAGGAACATTCTGGTTTACGATTTAGGTGGTGGCACGTTCGACGTCAGCGTTTTGGAAATCGACAGTGGCATATTCCAGGTATGGGTGAAAAAAAAAAAAAAAAACTGACAACGCTCATATTCGAAACATGGTTAATCAGAGCACTTCTACCATGCTATATAGTACTAGCTTATTACCCGGCCCGTTGGCCGGATTACTGTATGTTACCCACTTGTGGAATGGGAGAGAAAGCAAGTGAGAGTAAAGGGATTGGGATTCCACTTGATTAGGACCGACCCACTAATCCAATTCTTCCCGACCCGCCCCAACCTACAGGGTCAGAAAGAGTCAATAAGAAAATACGAACGGGGAGGATTAGTCATATATCTTGACTCTTCAGAAGTGGGTCAAACAGGATCAAGGTTGGGCGAGGGCAATTTTTAGCGCTAAGCAGAGTTCTGGGTTGAATACCTTTACTTAGGCCTAGAAATTGGTGCTGATGCAGACTGCAGTTTTTATTATACCATCATCAATCATCATTGAATTAGTCCTGGGCATCCCTCCCCGTTGTCGGTCTGAATTCTAATGATGGCTTCATTCCTTGCACCAGCCATATCAGCGAGTTGACATCTCGAGCATGATTTGCCTATGTACAAATAATACAATTAGAGTATGAAAATGAATTCAATGAAAAGGAAAAGAGAATTCTATCACATGCCAATAAATACACACATAATAGTTGAAGCTAAGTGAAAGTCATTACTCGCACATCAATTCTAAAAAATTACAGACTAAACATTGGCTAGAATGGCACTGAAACTACCAAGAATCATGGACGAAACAACTTGTCAAATTAAATAATCCTTATACTGAAACTACCTTCTAACTTGAAATAAGACATGATCACAGTTCATAGCTCTCTTCTCACTATGAATTGGTTGCAGCTCGTTCTTATCACTGCCTCTCAAGCTCAATTCAAACAGAATAGAGACCGTTATGTAAGATAACCATATTCTTACTGATCATAATTTCTTTCTTCACTCCATTTTTGTCGGAGAAAAGAGTTATCCCCCTCTCCTGCATTTCTCTTTCCCCCTCTCTTCTCCCTCTTCTTCACAAACCGATCCCTAAACCAGCAACAACAACACAAAAATAGCCTTCGCCTCTCCCGTCTCCATCTATGGAACGCGTTGGTGGCAAGACAGGATTGCAGAAGCAAAATTTTCTAAAATCAAGCTAAATTTTTTGAAG